ATGCTCTGCAGGGAGAAATTAAAAGAAGGTTCTGAAGTTCTTTGTACTGGGGAAGAATAAAAATATCATGAATTACTTAATGACATGCACAAGTGTTTTTCAGCTGGTGGTTTGTGAACTTCTGATGGCTGCAGGACAGTGAAAAGAGAAATTCCAAAATATTTTATAAATTATATAAATTACAGAGTTTAGAAATTACATTTCTGAAAGTACTCCATTGCCTTAATGAGGTTTTACCTTGAATTTAAAGGAAATGGAATGGTATAAATGTTAAATGATTGTATTCTTCCATTCCATATTTTTCAGCAGCATATATTCGTGATTTATAACCTACTTTCCAGGAATATTAACATTTTTCAGTAGTTTCATCTGCCATTTAATAATTATAAAGACAAAAATGTTCTTAGCTACATTTATTGCACTGAATTCACGTGTCTTAGCGAAGTCACAAATATTTCTGGTTTCAGAACATCAGTCTCTCAGACCTAACTAAAACTTTTCAGCAGGTGGACAATTACAATCTGTTTAGGAACATCCATCAAGGAACTATGGTTTTCTTTGTGGAATAAGCTTTTGACAATGTATAGCTTAGACCTGTTTAGTCTGGTTTCATTACCGTTTTTCACAAAGTGCATTAGCATAAATAACTTTAAATTTGTCTAAAATGAAGATATTTGTGGTATTAATTTCTCAGTTTGAAAAGCTGACAGTATTAGTGATCTCCACACCATGGAGAAGAAATTTTTTTCAGACAATAGAGTGATTTAGCCATCTACTGAGATCAAATTATGTGCTAGAAAGATCAAGGAATGACTGATGATCATCAGGGCAGATTTTAAAACAGTACCCCTCTATTAGCAACACTGAATGCCTAAATCTGTTTTACAGTTGGATGTGGGGCAAGACACCAAAGAAWGCTTAACAATAAGAGAACTTGGTCAAAAGGAACAAGGTGTATTCCATTAAGTTAGGAGAGATATAAAAAAGTTTCTAAATTTTAACAGATAATGGAACCACAGTAGTTTGCAAGAAAAATTGTTATACAAACATTTGTTCGAGGGAAAAATGCTGATGCAAATGTCGGGCACTTATGCTATTGGCTATCCCAGCATGCATCATTCTAATCTGATACTGAAAATATTCTAAAAGCTATATTACTTTTTGATAAAGGTTTTTGATTATACCACGACTGGGGCTTGTGCCCCTTCCACATGCTGCAGTTCTATTTTTCTTATTGCTATTCTTTGGCTGATCTGCATCTGAAAAGTGACTGCWGAATGCTACTGCAAATGCAAAAGTCTATACACACAGATTATTTCCTCAATGTTTTGAGATAAATTTTGATATGCAGCTTCTTTATAATATTTTATTCTTTGCCATGTTTCTGAAACCTTTAATCTCTATCATAAACTCRCTGCAACATTCCACATTGTAATGCTCATCCCTCCAAGGAAAAGTGTGTTATTTCAATAGCATATGGAGAATTTGCTTTGCTTTCAGATTTACTGAGGGCCTCTCACAGTGGCTTTTGAGTGAATCCTATTCATAGAATTACGTTTTCTTTCTCAAACAACAAACTGCTCTGATGGAGAAGGTAACTACTGCTATTATTAGACAGAACATACAAAACTTTAGGAAAGACAAAAAGGCTTTTAAAATGAGCTTTTAAATACTACAATTGGTCAATTTGCTATATGTCATTAAGCTAGATGATCTATCCACAGCAGAAAAGGGTTTTTTTCTTTTTAATTATCAGTAGTTAATTTGCAAAAAAAGGAGAAATTTCATAAGATCAAAGCCATATGAATTTGAGCTGAAATAATGAAACAATTATTGTTATAAAAAGCAATCTTTTAAAGTTATTGAATATGTTCTTTTGAAGGTATTAAAATATTTCTCATCAGAAATGCAGAAACATTTTTTCTTCATTTGTTATTTTCTGTTACACCTGATTGCTGACCTAGATTGTATTAGAGAAAAATAATTTAAAATATGAACAAAAAGAAAAGGTTTCCTTTGGGTTTTAAGCAATATTTTAGATTTACCTCTTGCATATCCCTCATACTCACATGGGATATAATTTATCTATGTTAAATTTTTTCTGTTGGCTAGCAGAAAATATTTCCTAAAATAGAAGGAAATACAAGATTACCTTTTGCAGAGGCAAATAATGTATTTGCTTCATATCTATTTAAGCCCTATATCCAACCCATGCTACTTAGCAAAACAACTGATATAAACCTCTACTGATTTAGAATTTGTATCCAAACCAGTGGATTAAAAATATGTCAGCTAGATATCTCACATGTAAAACAGGTACTCATTTCCCCTTTACTGGCATCTTTATATTTGGGGATCAAGAAATATTTCAACACTTCCCAGTATTTAACTTTTATCCATGATAGTCTTGCCAACACATATTGTTGTGCCTTTTTTCCAGTGAGCAGAGGAACCCTGCTAAGGAAAAAAAAAAAAAAAAAAGTCTTGCAAATATAAAACCTATGATAAATCTACACATTTTCTTGATAAGCCTTTTGCAGATTTCCATAAATTAAAATAATTGTGACATTGATCTGGGTACTTGTAGGTCAAGAGTTGTGGCAGACTGCAGCTRTGGGTGGGTAAGACACACAAAGAGRAAAAGAAAGCAAATAGATGTGCAAAATCTCTTTCTATTCCTCTTCCTACCTTTTTATAGTAAACAAGCACCCTCAACCCCAAAACCGCAAAGAATGCAGAAACTTCCTCTCCCAATAGCAAAATTATTTTGTTCCTAATTAGAATTTATAATTTTTTTCTCAAAATAATTTTGAAAATRTTATTTTCCAGRAACCTCAAACAATTTGAAAYATATATTCTTTCAATTTCTAGTATTATGAAAAGAACAGTTGGCTGTCATGGTGCACTGATTTAAAGAGTACTCCTGTGACATTAAGGGTCCTTAAAGGAGTGCAATGAACACTGATTGTGACAGATAAATTTAGGCTTTACATTCAGTCCATTTCTTGGAAGTCAGGTTGCAACATAAAGAATAGCCAACGACTTTTATGACCATGGTGGCAAAAAATCTTAAAATTTTTAATAAAATATAGTAACTATTCAAACAGTGAATTCTTGAATAGCTACATTTGACATCATTGTAGGAATGAGATGAAAATAAAATTATTATTCACTCATTCCAATCTTATTACTTATACTATTTACAAAGTTATACATGCATATGTTATATATATATATATATATATATATATATATATATATATGTGTGTGTCTAAAAATATTTTGGTACATTTGTATACCTCTTCAAGCTGCATATGAATCATGGCCAGAATAATTATATTTTGTGAAGCCTATTTCATGCTGATGTTTTTAACAAAATACTTTTATTTTCAGATTTATAA